AGATGAACGAAGCTTTTCGAAAGCACAAATAATTTTGAATGGAGGTAAACTCGTAAATTTGAACCTTCGCTATTCGAAAATCTCTATACTTAGAAACACGTTTTCCTGGAGTATGTCTAATAGTTGAAAATACATTAATTTGGCACATTTATTGACACACGATGTTTTGTGGCAATGTTTAATTTGTAATTCAAAAATTTACGAAAGAAAAGTTTGATTTGTCACAAAGAAAATTCAAGAAACGATTATAAAACTCATCCATATTTTAACTACTCTCGTAAATAACTGCTCAAAGCATATCGAAAAAAAGAACATTGTAATTAACAATTAACTCCATAAACAAAACAGCTTTTGTTATTTGAATTCCATTTTATCTTCATTTTGCAAATCGAAAGCCTCGGAGACTCAAACATATAATTATAATTTGACGATTCTTCTCATCAGTTAATATAATTCTTTAAAATGAAGTTCTAGTGAATACAAAACGCTAGTATACATTACGCTACTTCTCTTTATATGCGTTTTCGGCCTTTTATTTGTTTACTCAACATTATTGAAGGACGTCATAACTTTCAATGCGACAAATATTTTTCAACAAATATACTCGAATATCTGATTAATTCTCTTTTACTATATCCACATGTCTCTTCATTTTTCTTTCGATATGACGCCTAGTTCCTCCCCTCCCCTCCTCATAACCCTCTCCCTTGACTGACTACGAAAGATGGCGCAGCTTGTCGTCGTCGATTGATTGATATGTCACCTGCGAGAGGAAATATCGACGAAGATCTCACACAGCAAATCAACGTCCCGTTACAGAGCATAAGATGAAAGACAGGGAACTCCATAGCATATGGAACTATCGCCTTCGTTCATTCCCTCTCTTTCTTTGGAGAAAACTCCTACTACTTGGCCTTCGTATCAGACGTAGAGAGTAAACCATTTCGTCGAAGCACTTTTTGATGAAAATATCACTGTTGGCAAGAATGACGAGATTACTCGTCTCCATTTTTCTGGAGTATTGGAGGCAGATGGTCCATTATTCTCGTTAAGAAGTACTAAGAATTAACGGTGCGTTACTGTGAGGGGAGTAGCCGTACACAAATCAGTTTATCTGCTGTTTCTAATATTTATGTTTCACAAGACATCTAAGTACCATTGTCGCTTCCTGAGTTAGATCGGAAGTACGATCGAAAATTCTAACTTCAGCTCAATAAATATGCAAACAATTATCGTGCAAACTTAGCCAATTTATCAATATTATTTTTTACATTTTTTCACGCACATTCAGGAAGTCAATTTTATTGCCCTTTTCTTCCATCTATGATCTGAAGAAACAACATCCTATATTCCAAGAATGAATTATTGTCTCTACTGTATATCAATGTGGGTGAAAAAGAAAGGGTATATGGTTAAATAAACTTTGTCGTTCCTCAAAATATCTTATTTTGCTCCTCATTAAGTGTTATTTCCAGTATATATTTTGTAAGATTGTTTGAGCATTACGGCATCAAGCCAGACGAAACAAATTTTAAGTAAGCAACTTAGTTAATTAAATAATGATAATTGCCTTTCGGTTTACAAATTTTTTAAAAAAATTCTATTTTCTAAATTTATGAAAAGTTGCAAATAACATAAAAAATCATAAAAAAGCTCTGGGAGCGCCTTGTTTAACAAAAATAACACGGTTGAGAAATGGTGATAATGACGATTAAGAAGTTGAAAAATATTTATGACTCGGATGTCTTGAGTTCGTCAGGTATACGAACATTTTAATCAAGGACACAAAATGAAGTTTAATCCAGAGCAGACGTGCATGCACTAGTTGGATGACGCCACAAAGGAAGAAACTTGGAGCGTATTCAGACATTCGAAGCGCTCAGGCGGTTGCTTGGGCCGCAGGGAAATTAGAGATTCTCCTTGGTCGGTGCATCAGGAAGCCTGCGAGCACGTCCAGCGGCGCTAATCCCGCACGTAGCGCGCCTCCCCTCCCCTCCTCCTCACTCCACTCCACACCAAGCCGCCTGATCCCCGCCCCTCCTCTTCTCTCCTCACTCCACTACGCCCCACACCCGCTCCTTCCACGAGACGTCTCTCTCATTCCGCTGCGCTGCCCCCCTGCCTCCCCGCTCGCTGCCTTGCATCCGCCTAGTCCAGTCTCACTCCGCACAGCCCTGCATAACGCCCCACCCCTTCCCTCGCCGACTGTCTCATTCCGCTACCCTCCCCTCGCCCTGCCCCGCTTACCACCCTGCATTCGCCTTGTCCAGCTTAACTCCGCACTGCCCTGCCTAACGCCCCACCCCATCGACTCTCGCATACCGCTACGCTCCCCCTCACTGCGACCCGCTTACCGTCCTGTCCCCGCCTCCTCCGCCCCTCCCGCTCGGCGTAGCGGGGACACGCGGGAGGGTCCGCGGGCAGGCACGCTCCGGCCGCCTCCACCGCCCCAGGCGGATCCGGGATCGACTCCCAGCAATTGCCGCCGCCAGCCGCCTCCCCCGCGTCTCGCGTCCACTCGCCCGTGACGCCCGCCCACTCATCTGTTCACAACCCGCGCGCTCCGGCCCTGCCTTCTGGAGCGACGGGGACACGGGACGTAGGGTCACACGTGGTGCGGGATGGTCAAGCTATCCGTTTATTTCGACACCACCTGCTACAACATTTTCGCTTCGTAGCGATACTGTTTTCTGCATATGTATTACGTATACCTCGACTACTTTTCTTCAGGACAAGGCACGTAACGTCCGTTAAGAAGACAGCTAGGGAAGCAACGCACAAGGACACACGAAACGACAGAAGAAGGAAAGAATGTAAAAGCGACCTTTAGAGGCGGGTTGTTTGATATTTCACTCTGCAGTTCTTGAGTTAGAGCTCGCAATGTCGTATATCTACCTAAATTCGTGGTTGGGACTACATACTGTCATTTCGGCTGTAATTATCCTGTGATCAAAGGCTGGATTAATAAGTATTGTGAGTGACAGGATGGGAGGGATTTATGACGGCGAGCGGACGGCCATGGTGTTGCTACCCTAACCAAAGTGATTATAACATATTTTATAAAGAATAAATATAACATAAATAACAATTAACTACTTAATAAATAAATTTGTTCAAACAATTCGTTGTCCCGACAGGAACTCGAATCCGGGCCTTCTGGTTTACGCCCAGATGGTCTAACCACTAAACTACCGAGACAACCTATCGATTGAAACGTTTTCATGAGCGCGATTATCGCTCCTTGTATATATACTATGTATAATTGTCACCATCCCATCTCCTTGTTCGACGCAATTACACTCGGGGAATATATTCCGCAGTCGTCAAGAAATCCAAATTGTGACCACGTTACTGTGTAACAATGCATTTTAAACATTAAATTTGTTCAAAGGCCCCAACCGGAATTCGAACCCAGGCCCGATGATTTTACGCCCTGCTGCTCCAACCACTAAGCTACCAAGCTAAACTTCTATGGAAAAATGCTCAGAAAAATGAAATGAATAAAAATACTTCTGCTACAATGAATAGAATTATTTCTCAATGTACTCCTTTGTCTTGATATGTTCCTTCTCGTGTAATATCTCGTAATCATTGAACTATAGTTAATAAAGTGATTGAAGTTTCAATTGAAATAATAATGAATCTATATTAATGAAATATACTAATTAATCCTGCTGCTATTGTTATACCAATCCTTTAAACAGTTTTTTTCATGAGTTAACTATTTACTGATCTCGGGCTGCAGTCCTTACTCACTCCTGACACCGTTTCCCCGCTGCGCGCCGCCCGATCTACCGTCATGCCTTGCCGCCCTGCCCCGCCCCGCTCC